AGGCAGTCAGGAGGCTGGACACCTTTCCTTCCTGTGAGGCCAATCTAGAGGCACAGATTAACCAAACATGTTTTTGTACCATGGAAGGTAAACTGGAGAACCTGCACAAACTCTGTGCAGAAAGACCCCAGCAGCTAAGAATTGAACTCTTATAAACTCTTATAAAAACAAGTACATTTTATGTTACAATAATGAAATGAAAGTTTATTCTTGTCTAAAACTTTCAAGGATTTCTTAAAAAGTGTTTTAATAATCAGTAAGAAAAAATAAATCGTGTTTTTGCAGATTGTGGCAGCACTGATTGTCAGTCCGACCACACAGAAATGTTTTTGGGTTTTTTTCGGTCCGTGTTGCTTCCATGAGGACATGCTGCTGCTTCAGCACCACTGACAGAGACACCAGCAGGTTTGACAGATAGAGCTCTGCTTTGGCTCTCAGGTTTTTTCTCTCCTTTCAGTCATTTTTTTGAGATTGATTTTCCTTTCAGCAGCTCATAGAAGCTCGCTCCRTTTGTTCCTTTGTTTATCTTCTTCCCTTGCATGGTCACCTCTGTACTCATCGTATTGACAGACTGCTCCACCTCAGTCTAAATGTCAACTCTCAGCTCTCGATCAACCACGAGTGAGCTCTTTGATGGATGAACTTCAAACAATATGCCACCAATAACTAGGTGGCATGTAAAATAACTTTTGATCCTTTTAAATTTGGGCTGCATGTGTTCAAAAGGAAATAAATCACTCAGAGAGTTTTTAAATTGTCAATGTTTACCCAAATTAATTACTTAACTCCGGACTCTATTATTTAAAAATGAGAGAGTTATGACTGAATCCAATGAACAACAAAAAATTATTTGTACATGTTTTCCTTGTCTGGATTGTAAACAAATGGTTGTTGTTGTTGTTGTTTATTTTGTTTTTTGTAAACCTGAGTGTCACATTGATTTAGGAATTAAATAGTTTTTTATCAACTTCATCCAGAGTGAAATTATTATAAAACCTATAAAATCAAAAACTTTAAAATAAGGATTGTTCACAAAGGGTTTTATGGATCAAAAATATGCAATAATGCAAATACTGAGTAAAAACAAGTTGTGGAGGAGTCATTGTGAGGCTTTCAAACCTATATACTGCTTCAGTTGTCAAGCATGGTGGTGGAAGTATCATGCTATGGTACTGGTGCATTGCACAAAGTAGGGATGTAACAATGTATCGATTTGATTAAAGGGGACCTAATATGCAAAATTCACTTTTTTCCACATTTTTTAACTTACATTTGTGTCTGTACTGCTTCTAAACAGTCAAAGCACCAAAACAATACACCCAGAGGTAATTTTACTGTAAGTAAATGTATTTATGTGTGTCTTGAAATGAACTGTGTCAAACACCAACAGTTTGTGACATCACAAACCTGAGTCCAGCCCCTCACCTGGCAAACCAAGGTGGAGCTCCACCCACTTCTTCAACAGCTGATGGAAACTTCTGTCCCTACTGTTCCTCACAAATCTGCAGATAATGGTGATGTAAGCAGCTTTGTGTTTTCTCTTCCATAACACAGAGTCCAAGGCTACGCTCACACTGCAGGTCTTAATGYTCAGTTCTGATTTTTTGAAAAAATCCGATCTTTTTGTGTGAACGTTCACATTACATTTTAAATGTGACCTGCATCAGACCCCTGTGTGAACGCTACACAGCACTGATGTGACATGCATGCGCAGTAAAAGACGTGACGTCTCATCAGCCGGCTTGTTTGTTTACAGAGCTAGCATGGATGCTACATTTTGCACATCGAATCGGAAGTTGTTGTTTAATCAGAGCTGATGAAATAATTATCTGACATGCTTCTTTAGTTCAGTGTTTATATCTGAAGCTGCCTCTGACCGGGATGCTCCAGTGAAGCTTTTTATTTTTGAACGAAACTACGAGCTGGAAAAAAGTATCGACCGAGTAGCTAACTTTAGGATCGATACTCTCCGCGACCCAGGCTGGACATCGTTATTATCATACTATCTACGTGGAAAATGAAAAGTAAAAAGATGAAGCAACTGGACTTGTGTTTTGGAGCTGTAAACACATGGAGCTACAGATTTAAACAGCGAGACCTGAGGTTAGTGTCTTATCGATCCTTCACCCCCTCCTCCTGATGAAAAAGTCAGATGAATGTGACATGAGCGTTCACACTGCAGTCACTTTGAAAACATCAGATATGTATCCGATTTAAAACCACATACTGAAAYGGCCTGGGTCGGATTTGAAAAAACYGGATTTGTCTCATTCAGACTGTCATTTAAAAAAATCGTATAGGAGTCAGATGGGTCAAAAAAATCTGATTTGGGTCGGATTTGCCTGCAGTGTGAACATAGCCCAACAGGTGAGACAAACACGTGTTGGACTCCCTAGCACCAAGACGCCTGACTTTGGTCTGTCTCTACCAAGACAAGACTACTGTAGTACCATTGTGCATCTGTTTGCAGCAGCCATTTTCATGTCTCTGAAGTGCTAACATAAACTCTAATGTAAACAAAACAGCTCATTCTGAAGAGAGCTCAGAACAGGCAGAACTGACCAGGTGAAATCTCATCATCTGAGATTCATTTTGTAAATAAAATCAAATGAACATGTTTTGTATAGCCCACAGATGTATCCTAACTTGTTTAAGAACCCATATCCAGTTCTCTTTAAATGATTAATGATTCCATTGCATCAAAGCAAAACAAAAACATTGATCCATATCRTCATCAAATGTCTGATATGATTCAATATTGGGATCAAAATACCATCATGACGGACTGTAAAATCAAGAAACAGCGTATCATCATCCAAACAAATCTAAATAATTCTGTGTTGTGATAAAGCTAGTGATATACGTACACCCCTACAAAGTGGATGAAGTGACAAAGAGGGGCCTTCTTCAAATTCTTCACCATTATTATAAATCAACAATGAGAAGGTTGAAACTGCTGACAATGTGTTGACTATTAAAAGGTTTGTGTCAGGAAAAACTAATTTAAGCAAATTTAGATTAACTCCCTTAATTCTGTCGAGAAAAATTATCAAATATTTGTCCTGAAGCTTGTTGATGAACATAAAATTGTGTGATCAAGATACTTCATAAGGAACATTTAACACAACATTGGTGGGATGTATTTATTTATTTGAACATGCATGTACAAATCTGACCCTGATCAAATCAGCGAAAATCCACGATAAATTCAAACTTGTTCACCAAACCGTGAGGATTCAGCTTTTTATTTATTTTATTTTTTATTTATTAATTTTTTGCCTTTAAATTTGCTCTTTGTTTTTCGGCGAACTGAGTGTTCAGGTCCCACACAGGAGGGACTTGTGTGGACTGTTTGTCAGCAGGGTTTTTGAGGCGAAGATGACCCAATGTTCTGCAGGGGTCCTGTGGTCACTGATGGTGATGTTTTTCACTTAAGTAGTGTTGGACAGATTTTGTTGTAGAATCTTGTTATCCTATAAAGAAGTTAAAACCTGCCTTTGCTGATTCCCAGGTCAACCTACTGGTTGTACCGGTCCTTCCATCATGGAGCATCTTGCTGGTCAGCCTGTTCTGAATCTGTTAATTAGTTCATCAGCACCTGTGTCACAGTCTGTGTCTTTTCTGCTTTAGTTTTTTAGTGTTTCAGTGTTTCCCTGTGTATCTCTGCCCTGCTGTCACTCATTCCTCCAGCCCAGCCTCTGCTCACCTGTTTCCACTTGTGTCTCCTCCAGGTGTTTCTTGTTGTCTCGTTAAGTTCTCCCTTTATATTCTGTGTCCTGTCTTCAGTGTTAGTCCGATCACTGTGCTGTTTCCCCAGCCTGTGTGGTTGTCCTCCATGCTYCCTCAAGTTCTTGTGTCCTCCTGAGAAGTTTTTGAGCTGCCCCGTCAGCCTTTTGATTGAATAAATACCTTATTATTTACTATAGTTTTGGGTCAGCTGTGGCAGAGTGGTTAGGGGAGTCGTCCTGGAACCGGAAGGTCACCGGCTCGATCCCCTGTCCAGCAATCTCAGTTGTTGTGTCCTTGGGCAAGACACTTCACCCCAATCCCTCTGATGTGTGTCCGATCAGTGTATGAATGTGATWGGCACTGATTAGTCTCCATAGTTGATTGTACATGTTAGCTTTGTAGGAGATTTAGTAGAGTGCTGTGTGAATGGGTAAATGAAAGCACAGGCTGTAGGGTGAAGCACTTTGAGTGTCCTGATTGGATAGAAAAGTGCTATATAGTCCATTTACCATTACTTATTTTTGCACTTTTGGATTTTTGCCTGCGCCCTGGGTTTTTCCTGCCTGCGATCTCACAACCTGGAACTAAAGTTCAGAGAAGTCAGCTCGTCCTGGATTTTTTGTCCGCCACGCACTATCTTTATAAATAAACCTGTACAAGCCATGCGAAAGCTGTTCAGTTTAACCAAACTCAAAAAAGTATTGAAGTAGTTTGTTTAATCATTCTATTAGGAAAGGAACCATTCCAATCAATCCTTGAAAGAGAAAGTTTAATGACATTCATTTATTACCACATTAAACACTTTGTTTTTACTTTTGACTGTCATTTTCAAACAGTAGAACAAAACTAAAGATCATTGTTTCCTCCTAATGCTTTCCACGGTGGGTCGTGCTGTTTATGACCTGGTCTTGTTGGAGCTCAGCGAGCTTTGTCTAACAGTTCCGTTTACTCCGCTACCGGGAACCAGCTCCCAGCAGGGCCCAGCCTCAGCCTCTGCAGAGCACTAACGGGACAGCTGGGTGATGGATCCCATCAAGTGCAGCTGTCACTCACAAACACAACAGTCCTTCTCGAGCCAGAGCTATGTCCTGCTGTTATTCTTGGGCCTCAGTAATGGGAGTATGCACGTTTGGCTATTATCCCTAAATCTCATGAACTCAGACAATGGTGGCCGGTGGCAGGGAAAGAATAGACCTCTTTACCTGCGCCTCTGCCTAAAGAAGGCATGGATTATTTATAGTCCATAAGCATGCGCTATTGTGCACCAGAGGAGAGAGGGGTCAGTATATCTAGCCCTGCTCCATCACAAAGCACAGAGAGCCCTGCTTGGTCCTCATCCAGCTGAAGCATGGTGAGTGGACACCTCTTCTACCTGCTAATCTGCTTCTAAACTATATATCTGTACAGTGAACCGCCATGATTGATTAACACTAATTATACAACTAGCTCCACTCACACCCCGGCTAATTAATCAATGTGCTACATGTCAATAAGCTTATGGCTACTGAATGCAGATTTTTTTTTATTAATCAATAGGACGGTGTTCTAGTTATCCTATTGATGATTTCTTGATCCTATCTCACAAACAGGAAATTTAAATCAATGAAATTGGAGTTGAGACAGGATGGCTACAGTAAAATACATCATGCGTGAGTTGAAGAGTGGGACAATAAAGGATGAGATTGAGGAAGAAAAATAGAAATGAAGTAGGAAAAGAAAGGCAGAGGATTGAAATGGGGAAAGCAAAAAGGGAACAAAGAAAAGGAGAGATGACAAAAAAGTTGTAAAGAAGAAACAAAGGATATGAAGAGCAACAGGTGTAAGATGAAAGATGTCATGATGTATGTCTTTTGATTAAAAACATTTTATTGCTCCAAACAAGCACAATTTATATAAGAACACTAATTAATCTTAAAGTGCCTGTGACATGCTTATCCTTCAAATACAAAAAGTTAAAAAAAAATTTATATCTAAAAAACTAACATAATACACATGATTTTGCCCATTTTGTCTCATAACTGTCATATTTTCCTCTTGAATTTGGCTCAGCAAAGTGAAACAGGAAGTGACATCAAAGTGGAACTCTAAGAAAAGAAACTCTCTAGTCTTTGTTTATTGAAACAATCTTATTTAAACTCTTCTTTAACTCTGATAGCGACTCAAAATATTCTAAAAAACATCAGATTCTTCTCCAATTATTGTAGCATTGCTTTGTTTACATGCAGACATTCCCCTTTGACATCACTTCCTGTTTCTTCACAAGCAAATATCTCAACAACTGTTCATCTCAACGGCGTGAAATTGTTTTTGCAATATGCTATCGATGTTCTCTTTCCAAAAATGCATTCACATTTATTACAACAAATTGATGTCAAAGGAACTTTAAGGAAGCAAAATAAGTGGTGGGCAGCTCTAATCTAAAAATTAGTTCAGCTGGCCCTAAAACACTAAGTCAAATATTTAGGTCCCCTAATTCTAAAGCACTAACATACTAAAATTTTAGCAAAAGCTAATTCTAAAGCACTAAAATAACCCAGTCAACCCATGAACATTCTTCAACAGACATGAGTCACATGTTGTCATGTTGTCCTCTTAAAACTTATCACTGACATTCCACAGCTGTATTTGGTTCATATATTGTCAATATGTCACCTGGTGGATCAGTGACACTCATATGAACAACATGTGTGACAGTTTTCACCCTCAGCTGTTAACATTAATGTTGATTAATAACATTTATAGACCTCAGTYAGTGCTTCTAAATTTAGCCTATAAATWTAACAAGTGCTAATCCACTAATACATTTTAAAATTAGCAAAAGCCCTAAAGCACTAATCAGGAAATTAGTTCCCCTATTATTGCTTTAGTGCTTTAGGGGAACTTTGCCCACCACTACAAAATAAAAATGTTCATATTTCTTGGTGCCAGAGGTCCTGTTGGAGAGATATCAGGCACTCCAGAGCTAATCCACTGTGAGGTTTAGACAGCAGCTGTCGAGAGGCCTGGAGATCCAACATGATATCATCACGCTGCATCCCCTTACACTGTTTTTCACCGTTCCTTGGCAGACATGTAAATAGCTCGGCATAATCCCTCCCTGTGAGGGTTTTCTGATCAAACAGGTTTCAGGGTACCATCCTGTCATCCAGGCCCCGTGGAATAATCCCCCGTGTGATCTTGGGACTGTAGAGGAGTGCAGGCAGCAGACGGCACCCTCCCCTGTTGACTGACAGAGCTGGGGGCTCCAGGGAACGTTTCAATGACCGTGTTTGTAATCCTGCTTAATGGAATGTATGCTCCATTGTAAAAGCTGCCAGTTATGCAATAAATGTCCCCAAGCTTTCCTCAGCTTGCCATCACAGAGGAACATATATGTAATAACCATGAGGTGGGCGGCTGTTGGATTGGTGAGGTCAGTAGTTTTAAATCCTGATCAGTGTGTCAAACTCCACAGTCTCCCAAGAAAGCGAAGAAGAGAGCAGAGGGYGCCAGCTCCAATGTCTTCTCCATGTTCGAACAGGCCCAGATCCAGGAGTTTAAAGAAGTGAGCGYTCTGACAAAATGTCATCTTTCATGCGCTGTTTTGCTTCACTCAGAAAATGACACGAAACTTTAAATATTCTGCAGGCTTTCACCATCATGGATCAAAACAGAGACGGCTTCATTGACAAGAACGACCTGAGGGACACCTTCGCAGCTTTAGGTGAGCTTGTTTTACAGTTTTCACATGGTCATCCTTTCCTGTCTTCCTGGTCAATAGACCATTAATCAAGTAAATATAAAAATGATGTGATTAAATAATTGCGGGAGAAAAAAATCATTAATCAGTGCCCTAAACTTCACCTCAACCCTTATCCCTCTCCAGGCCGTTTGAACGTCAAACAGGAAGAGATTGAYGACATGCTGAAGGAGGCCCCTGGACCCATCAATTTTACAGTCTTTCTCACCATGTTTGGAGAGAAACTAAAAGGTGATCCAGGATGTGTTTTTGTTACATCACAGCTCATTATGTATGCACGGAATAAAGAAAGTCCACCCTCTTTAAACTCTGGGAGGGTTTTTGTTTGGAAGAATTGTGGGAGAAAAGCTTTTCCTTCTGAAACAACATGGCAGCGCAACTGACGTTTGTAAAACTGCAACAGAATTTTATTTATTTACCATTGTTTAACCAGGCAAATCCCACAGGTCTCTTTTTCAAGGGAGACCTGAAGGAAACCTATTGTGCATGTTTTTGGGGTGAGGGGGAATCCWTAGTACGCAGAGAAAACCCAAGCATGAGGAGAACATTCAAGATCCCCACAGAAAGACCCCAGGTCTGAACTGGGGATTGAACCCAGGACCTTCTTGCTGTGAGGCATTGATGCTAATCACTGAGCCATCATTTTGCCAAATGAATCACAAAAGTACCTAGAATCATGATATGGTCAATTTCTTTGTTGAAATGTTTTCTTTTTTCCAAGAGACTTCTTCAGTCTGAGGAGTTTCAGGTGAACTCAGCCTGAAGCTGTGCCTCCACATGGTGGACAAACAGGTTGAATGATGACACTCAAAACTGTTTGTTCACACGCTAAAGAGGACCATCAGCCTAACGACTGATTGTCGGTTTCAATCTTACAATAGCAGCATTGTAAGACTGGAACAATGGGACAAAGGCCTCCACCTCTGTTTAACGTTGGTCAGTTTCTCTTTTTGTCCGGTGCAGATTTAAGTTGCAGGCTCTCCGTCTGCAGCGGAGGCTGAGTCTCAGGTGGTTATAGTCTTTCCTCTTTCTTGCTGTTTGCTCAAACGCTCAAACTAGTTTGAGGCAATACTGGACAAAGTGGTTCAAAAATGTCTAGGTGTTTGTGGAGTTACAATTTAGACCAAAGCATTTAATCATTTTCAGCTATGTGGACCAAATATAAAACTCTAGGCCTGAAAGAAAGTGAACTTTCTTTTTCCCTTGAATGAATAAATTAAAGCTTAAAACGTGTATTAAAGCTTTCACTTGAATTGTCATCAGGCGCTGACCCCGAGGAGACCATCCTGAATGCTTTCAAAGTCTTCGACCCTGAAGGAACAGGCATCTTAAAGAGAGAGTTGTGAGTAACAGTCTAGCTTTACAACGTCAGATGAAGTGACTTCCTGCTCTGTCACATTCACTTCCTGTTTCCACAGCGTGACAGACATGCTGACGACTCAGGCTGACAGGTTCTCCCCTGAAGAGGTTTGAGCTCCTCCTCTGATAAAGGTCCCGTTGGATTTGGCTTCAAAGAAAGCTCTAAACGGTTTCCTTTCTTTGTGCCCACAGATGGAACAGATGTTTGCAGCATTCCCTCCGGATGTGGCAGGAAACCTGGACTACAAGAACCTGGTCCACATCATTACACACGGAGAGGAGAAAGACCAAGAGTGAAGTCACTCAGCCTGAGATTGCTTTGAGCACAAACACCAGCTTGAACAAAATGTTGAAAATAAAAGGATTTTCCATTTTCATTTAAATATAAAGATTATGTGATGTTTTTAGTTGTGTTATTAATGTTTGTGAATCACATCAGATGACATGTTTAAAACATATTTAACGCCTGCTGCAAAGGTGAATGGGTACTGATGTTTTAGGAGTGTGTTTAAGGGAACTTTTGACCATTCATCCAGAAACATGTGTGAGGTCCAAGGAGCTTCTATAGAACAGCTGGAGTGCACAGAAACCATGTGATCTGCTGGTGAAGCTAACGGCTAATGCTAAACGGTCAAGAGTCTGGATTTCYCATYACTGTACATGTTGACAACAGAGCAGAAAAAAGGACTGACGATGTAGAAATCATTAAAACTATTAATAATAATATTAACACAATTATTATTAATATTTTACAGTTTATATAGTCTATCTAATGTTTCAAATGATGTCAGAAAAGCTGTTTGTGTTATGGATTTATTAACAGTGTGAGGTTTTAGCAGGTACAGACCCAGGGCGCAGGCAAAAATCAAAGGCGCAACAAAAAGGTTTATTATGTTAACAAAAGGAGGGCTGAAGAGAGCAAAAACTTACAGACAAGTGCTTCTCAGGAGGAACGGACAGAACACCACACAGGCTGAGGGGAAACAGCACAATGAACCAACACAAGACTGAGACAGGACTTAAATACACTGAAAACTAATGAATGAACAGAAAACACCTGAGAGAAACACGAGGGTGACAATCAGGCTAATGTGGGGCAGCTGGGCTGAGACACACAAGGGAACATAGAAACACTAGGAAAACCCAGGTGAAAACTGACAAACCATGACAAACAGAAGATAAACAGGAAAACATCTCATTTTACAACACAAGTCAGCAGATTTGATCTTATTTAGCTCAATGTGATCTGAGCAGAACATAATGTAACAGTTTAAAATTAAAATAATCTTATAAAGTCCATGTAATCACTGTTATTTATTGAACTGGTTAGCAGATATTAGCTTGTGGAGCATATATACAGAGTTTAGCACTGTTGAATCATGTTACAATTTAACACAAACTATTAAATATTACTTTGCCCTCTAATTAGATTTACAGAGTGTAATCCCTAACCCCTTGCCGCCAGCGGCTTTTCCGGATTGCGTCACTCAGGGGTCTTTGGGTCGGGGTCTGAGGTTAACATAAGGGATCAGGATTAATGGTTAGTTTGAGATACTGGGGTCAGGGATAGGCTGTATATAGCTAATTTAGGTTAAATTTACGGTCTGGGGTGTTAATTCTCGCAAATTCTCTACATTTTAAAAATGGTTAATATGAGGGATCAGGGTTAATGTTTAATTTTAGGGTCTGTGGTCAGGGATAGGCTGTATAAGGCTAATAGAAGTTAAATTTACAGTCTGGGATGGTTTGTTTCGCACATTTCATACTCTTGTAATAAAATATGACAATGCGCTCTTCCTCCTCCGCCTCATCTCGTAAAGAACGGACCCGCGGGGGCTACCTGGTGGGTCCAAAAGTGGACACAGACGGCTACCTGACCAAGCGTCAATATGTTGATGCGGGAGGCATGAGAATGCTTTGCCATTTCTGCTCCTCCGTGCTGTCACAGATGCTACCAGTATGGGTGGGGCCTAGTCTAGTGCTCTTATTCAAGTCTATGCCTTATAGTTATTTGCCAAATGGCCGCAGTCTAGTGCGATATTTACTATTGATATCTGAGTGACAGATCATCATAAATGACCAGACCACTTCTTTGAGTATTGAACATTTTAAAAAGCACTGAGCACAGAGACTAAAAACAGAAACACACACAGGTTTGTTTTTATATCCCCATGGGACCGTGGATTGACTTCCATTCACCTTTTTTTGGTAATTTTATATCCTAATTCTGACCATTTACTCAAAAATTAACCTCAAAGCCTCCGGGCTTTGGTCCCCACAAGGCTGCCTTTTTCTGGAAAATGATTCCCATGATGTAGCAAAAACGTAGCCCCCCCCCCCCCCACACACACACACACACAAACAGAGAGAAGACCTCTTCCTTTTGGTTTTCTTTGATATGAAACAAAAGCTTTTGTGACTTTCTTGAAGTTGTTGGTGTTAAACAACTTGT